CGACAGAGGGTTCTCCTGAACAGCCAGGGGATTCCTTTGCATACTGGGTTTTTGTTTATTTCCTAATGACTGTGTGTACCATATAATGAAACCTGGTTACCTGATTTCTAGGAACTATCTGAACTTTGTCACAGAGGAGATGATCAACCCCTACAGGTGCGTGCAAGAACGGGAGAGGCATTTCACTGCCTTAACGTGAGAGAAGAGCCTCGCTGTGCTGTGCTTCAGAAGAGCCAGTTGATGGGCTCTGCCTGGCCTCTGTGGAGGCCTGCTGGGGCCTGCAGTGAGGGTGGTGCAGGGATCAGGCTGGCTCTGGGTCCAAAGAGGGGCAGCTGTGGCTTCCAGCCCTGGGGACCTCTCTGGAGTGTGCAGCTAGTGGGTAGAGCTGCAGGTGTTCAGACTGGGCAGCCTTGACCCCTCAGAGCCACCTCAGTTCTCAAGGACAGCAGGCTGGTAGGGTGGCACTCAGCTTTGCACAGCTGCCCAAGTCCAGGTGTTACTATGCAGTCGCCTTGTGACACTAGAACCCTTCTCACTGCCCAGGAATGAGGCTCAATCGTGGAGCTGCCACAAGGGGAAGGGAACTAGTTCCTTGGGCTGCACATTGCTCATGTGTCCCTCCCATTCCCAGAAACCTGCCCCTGGCCATCATCATCTCCCTCCCCATCGTCACGCTGGTGTATGTGCTGACGAACCTGGCCTACTTCACTACCCTGTCTACCAAGGAGATGCTGGCATCTGAGGCTGTGGCTGTGGTAAGAGATAGCCCACCAGCTTCTCCCAGGCCTGAGAGGCTGGAGCTGGCCGCCACCCCTAGGCCTCTGACCAAGCCTGGCTCTTGTGCCCAAGCTTTACCCCTCCTGGGTGTGGGGGTTCCCAGTACAGATGACCACAGAGGTTTCTGCCAAACTGATTGCATGGTGGGGAGGTTACCTCAACACTCAATACTCAGGTAGCACTGTACCCATGGCAAGACAGCAGAGGGTAGTCACGATCATCGGGGCACAGGTGGTTCCATTAGGGACTGTGGTGACTTAGGGGCTGCTGCTGAGTCATCTCCGGGGCTCTGGTGGGAAGCCATAGCCAGGCCTCTCAGCAGCCCCTGCAGACCCCTGCACTGTACTCCTGGGCTACGGGGAGTTGAAAGTCAGCTCTGTATAGCTTTACTTAGCAAGTGTTGAGTAAAAGCCCATTGCTCATAAAGACCCTCTGCCAGGCTCTTGGCAGACATGAGGCAGCCAGCGTGAGGGAGGCTCCCCGCAGCTTCCCTGACGTTCCACAGGAAGGGCATGTACTGCATGGGGACTGTCCACAGCAGCACTGGGAGATGGGTCAGTGTGTGTCCCCCCATAGTCCAGAGAGGTGTCCACCCATGCAGAAGCCTGAGATGTGGGGCAGTGTCCTAGGGCTGTGTCAGCCCAGCAGGGTCCTGGGCTCAGCAGGGTCACAGCCTGAGCTGCTCTAAGGGCCAGAAGTGAGGCCCTGCCTGAACCCCACTGTGGCTGAGGGCTTACCTGTGTCATATCTGTTTAGGACTTTGGGAACTATCACCTGGGGGTCATGTCCTGGATCATTCCTGTCTTCGTGGGCTTGTCCTGCTTTGGCTCTGTCAACGGGTCCCTGTTCACTTCTTCAAGGTAAGCACCCGACCCTAACGGCACTGTAGAGGGCAGCCCTCTGCTCTGCCACAACCTTGAAAGCTGTCTTGGTTTATTCGTGATGGGCTGATGGACAGGCTGACTGTTAAAAGTTCATTCCGATGACCTGGGAATTGGGGAACTGCTCTGTTCCTCTGGTCTCTGCTTAGGCTACACTGTGGGCACCCTGAGAGGCTAGAGGTAAGGGGCAACCCCAGGTTTCTTTCCTGCTAACCCAGTCAAGGACCAGTTATGTGGTCAAGGACATCAAGAGGCTGGTGGGATGGGGAGTTGGACCTAGTGAGACTGCAATGCCCCTGGTCAACTCTTGCTCTCCCCACCCATAGGCTGTTCTTCGTGGGATCCAGGGAGGGCCACTTGCCCTCTGTCCTCTCCATGATCCACCCACAGCTTCTGACACCTGTACCGTCCCTTGTGTTCACGGTAAGCCCACTAAGTGGCCCTGCCTCCTCTGTCCTCCCATTCAGGCCCTGTGCTTGGGAACTATGTTGTGCACATGGCCACCAGGCTCCACAGGACAGCAGTACAGCACCAGGGTTTTAAATTCAGAGTCCCACATGTGATGCACTGTGGGTGTAAAGAGAACTCGGTTGGTTCTCGTGTGTGAAGCAAAAGCCGTGCCTGGTGGGAGCCCCCATTCGTAGCCGCTGTCCACTGTGCCATGCTGATACGTCATGCTTGTGTCCCTGTATGCACGTTTGGCTCCGTCTCTCCTTCTGTGCCCATGTGTTCGTTTATATTAGTTCTCTGTTGCCATGTAACAGAATCTCCCCGAAGCCAGTGGCCTGAAAGAAGAAGCCATGCTTTCTGTGAGTTAGGAGGTCAGGGTCTCTCAGGAGGTGTCAGCAGAGGCTGCTGCTGCTTCTAGGCTCCCCCAGGGCTGAGGAGCCACAGCTGTGGACAGCGGCCTCTGGTAACGGGGTACTGGCTCCCACTCAGCAAGGGGTCCACTCAAGAGCCTTACCCCAGAAGTCCCACCTGTCCTCCCTGCCTGGTGTTAGAAGTAAGTCGGTCCAGCCCGACGAGCAGGATTAGACTCCACTCCTAAAGAGAGAAACAGCAAACCCCTACTTTGTTTTCTTTCATTTTAGCAATGCTAGGGACTGAACCAGGGTGTGGTGCATGCTGGGTAAGCCCTCTACCACTAAACCGTACCCCAGCCCTCAAATAAGTTTTGGACATACTTTAAAGCCAGCACAGTTTGAGCTTGGTTTTTTTGTTTGTTTGTTTTGTTTTGGGGTTTTTTTTTTTTTGTTTTTGTTTTTTATTTTGGTCTTTTTGAGAAAGACCTGTAGCCCCAGCTGTCCTAGAACTCACTGCGTAGACCAGGCTGGTCTTGAACTCACAGAGATCCACCTGCCTCTGCCACCCGAGTGCTGGGATTAAAGGCGTGCGCCACCACGCCCAGCTTGAGCTAGGTTTTGAGTAGTGGTGTAGTTATGTGGTCCTGGTTTTGAGCCATGGTGTGATGTGTAACGTGGTGGTCCTGGTTTTGAGCAGTGATGTGGTGTGTAGCGTGTTGGTCCTGGATTTGAGCAGTGATGTGGTGTGTAGTGTGGTGGTCCTGGTTTTGAGCAGTGGTGTGGTATGGTGTGGAGCATGGTGGTCCTTGATCTGTTGAAAGGCTCCCAGTTGGTATTTTGGTTGGTCCCAGGTCACTGCTGGCACAGGAAGCTACAGTGAGCGCTGGGTGCAGGTGTTTCTGCCATTCTGTTCTGAATAGCTCTTGTGCCTTGCCCTTGAACCCTGGGTGTGTCACTATGTTCTCCCCATCTGTCTCAGCTTCCCAAGACTTCGCATGTGGTCACAATAATTGTCTCTTTTTTTTGTTTTTTTTGTTTTTCGTGGGGTTTTGTTGTTGTTGTTGTTGTTGTTGTTGTTGTTTTTGAGACATGGTCTCCCTGTAGCCCCAGCTGTTCTAGAACTCGCTGTGTAGACCATGCTGGCCTTGAACTCACAGAGATCTGCCTGCCTCTGCCTCCCAAGTGCTGGGATTAAAGGCATGTGCCACCATGTCCCGCCTTAGTAATCATCTCTTAAAACTAGAGCAAGCAGGTATGCACACTGGCCAAGCTGGCGGTCTCAGGTGGCTTCTGGCACCTTCCCGTCTCAGCACAGCCCGCCAGGCTCACCCAGCCCCATCTGCTTTCAGTGTCTCATGACCCTGATGTACGCCTTCTCCAACGACATCTTCTCCATCATCAACTTCTTCAGCTTCTTCAACTGGCTCTGTGTGGCCCTGGCCATCATCGGTATGATGTGGCTCCGCTTCAAGAAGCCTGAGCTGGAGCGGCCCATCAAGGTGAGTGTTGGTTTGGAAGCACCCTCCCCAGTTCCCCAGATGCTGTTCCTGGGCAGAGGCCTTGTCCTGAGTTGCCCTGGGCCCAGCTACAACCCAGCACAGACCCTGGTCCTGCCCTGTCCAGCCCCCATACCCCTCCTGGCAAACATGTGCTGTAAAATGGACAGTAGAAGGTTAATTAACACCGTCAGTTGGCTGTTCACGGGACCTTCATGAGCACCACGTGAAGGGCATGTCGAGGGCTGAGCTGCTAGGGACAACAAGTACTCGGGTTGGCCCAAGACGGCAGGTTTGTGGTGGCTGCTGGCCAGCAGCTCCTGTCACTTGGCCAAGCCTCCTTTCTCATGAGGCTGATCCAATCACACCTGCCTCAGGGCTTCTCCCTGCTTCAGCCCTGTCCCAGCCCAGTGGTCTCCACTAAGAGCCCATGGAGCCTAGATCCGAGAAGGGAACTCACGGCTCAGAGTTCCCAGTCCACTCTCCATCTGTTCCCAAATGTGGGGTCTCAGGTGAGATCCCAACAGAAGACTCACTGGGATGCCCATGGTGGACAGCCACCCTTCGTGGGGAACTAACTCAAGTTGGCTTGTTCCACTTCCTCATCCAGGCTGTGGGGACAGAGGTCAGGCTACCAGTGGCTGGTCTGTGAAGACCGGAAACAGACACCTGTGGGTTGTGTCCCCTGGGAACCTGGGCACATAGTGGAGTCTACACTAGTGAACCTGATTCCCAGGGGTGGGATGCCCATCTTTGAGACAGTAGAATTCTTAGTCAGGACCAGTCTAGCATGATCCCGTAGAGAAAAGCCTGACTCCACGCCCTGGATCATGCCGCGCTTGAGCTGCTTTGCCAGGAGCCTGTCTGTTCTGGCTAGCTACAGGCTGTGGCTCCATGACGGGCATTATGTCCACAAAGGCTTCTCTGAGAAGGCAGGGTGCCTTGCTTGTTGGTGGGTAGCCAGGGTCTTCCCAGAAGAGTTGGCCCACTGTCGCCCCCCTCCTCCAGCAGCCATGTGGGGGGGTTTCCATGTCTGTGATGTGGGGGCTGTCAGAGCAGACCTCTGGTGTCCTTTGGAGGCCTCGAGAGACCAGACTGGTTATTTTCATTCCTCTGTCAATACCAGCTGAACTTTGGGTAATTATACGCCTAGCACCGCGTGCTGAGGCCTGAGTGAGGCAGTCCAAGAAGCAGACTCTGCTCTCTCCAGGCCCCTGACAACTCGAGGCTGGCCTGGGGAGCAGCTGGAGGCAGTTCAAACCACTTCAAAGCAAAGGCCTGAACACTGAGGGAGGAATGGCCTTGGATGGGGTCATGGGTGTCCTAGGACCAGAGAGGTGTGGCTGGGTAGACTTGAAGGAGAAGATGGTGGCTCCGGGGTCATGGGCCATGGGCGATGTGAGGAGAGCCCTGATGGCCACGCGCCTCCATCCTGTCCAGGTGAACCTGGTCCTCCCTGTGTTCTTCATCCTGGCCTGCCTCTTCCTCATTGCTGTTTCCTTCTGGAAGACGCCCGTGGAGTGCGGCATCGGCTTTGCCATCATCCTCAGTGGGCTGCCTGTCTACTTCTTCGGCGTCTGGTGGGAGAACAAGCCCAAGTGGCTCCTCCAGGCCATCTGTGAGTATCCACGGCCACTGCCCACCGCAACCAGGGCAAGGCTGGGGTGCAGGATCGGAGGTCCTGCCACACCCACTATGCACGCAGAGAGAGTCACCCAGGGCTTCTGGCTTCAGCAGCCAAGGGTTTGGGTCACTGGTGGACTAGTGATGAGTAACCGCAGGAGCTTGGCCCAGCTGGATGCAGCAGGCGTTACAGGATCAGCTGCTCCCACCAATGGGCAAAACCCTGCTGTCAGCCACTAGCTTGGACATGGCGGCATGACCAGGAGGTAGGGACCACGAAAGCTCTTATCTGAGGCACCCATGGCCTAGGGCTGGGTTAGGACCCTCTTTTCACCCTCCTAAGACTCCCAGGAGAGGGCAGTATCTGCACACCTAGGCCATCACTGTAGTCTGGGAGAGCGTTGAAGGTCCAAATTTGAGGGTTGGGGAGAGATGGCTCAGTGGGTAAAAGCGTTTACTGCACAAGCTGATGACCTGTATTTCCAGTCCCCAGAGCTCGCATAAAACCCAGATGGAACAGCACAACCATCTGTAACCTGGCATGCCTCTATGGGGAGATGGGGGCAGAAGCAGGAGAATCTCAAAGTTTTCAGGCAAAACTAGCTTGGCATACGTGTGTAGGGACAAAGAGACCACCTCAAGAGGTGGAAGGCGAGGCCAGCATCTGAAGGCTGTAATCTGACTTCCACACGCGTGCTGTGGTACATGAATATGTACATGCATATGCTCACCATACGCACATGCAAATAAGTAAATAAAATTCCAGAATGGCCCCAGCACAGGCAGAGACTCCTGGCTGACACATGCCAGGACCAAGGAGGGCTGCATCACTGGAGGTACATGCTGCCTTCAGCTGATTAAGCTCGCCCTGCCCTGTGCTCATCCTTCCTAATCACAGCAAACCCTAAGGAATGGAAAGACCTTGTCCTGAGCCCATTCCCTCTCCAAGAGATTTCTTGGTAGAAAATGCTAGATCCTCACAGGGACTCCTTATGTGGGCGCAGGTAGTCTCCACCCTGTCCCCATCTCTGGCCCCAGGTCCCCATGGCGGTCATCAAGTGGCCACTGTAGTTACAGCCTGATGACCCTAGGCTAAGGTGTGGGACCTGGTGTGTGTGGCCTTGGGAAAGGGCTCTTGCAGCCAGCTAGCAAGGTCATGGGGTTCTGAGGGAGGAGGACCCCACTCCTGCCCTTAGCCACACTTCTCCCTTCACAGTCCCAGTGGCCACTGTCCTTTGCCAGAGCTGCAGGCTGTGCCCTGGCATGGCCCCCGCAGGAGCTTGCTGTCCACTGCACAAACGACTACACACACACACACACACACACACACACACACACACACACCCAGGGGACGGGGGCAGGCATGTGCCATGATGGTATGTATGAGGTCAGAGGACAGCTGGCAGGAGTCAGTTCACTTCTTGCACCACGTAGGTCCAGGGGATCAAATCAAATCCTCAGGCTCAGTGGCAAGCACCTTTACCTGCTGAGCCACCTCATTGGCCCCTCTTGTGACTAAGTGTGATGACGGGCTGTGGAAACTGGCTGGGTGGAGACCCTGCCTCCAGTTCACTCCTCCTCTCCCACCCTTCTCACTACTCTTCTTTTCTCTGCAGTCTCGGTGACAGTGCTTTGCCAGAAGCTCATGCAGGTGGTCCCTCAGGAGACTTAACCCGGAGCCCTGGGCACCCAGGAGAGTGCACACCGGGACTGCTTCCAGACAACTCACCCTCGGAAAAGCCATGTCCGGTCCCACTGTCCCCACAGCTCCAGTGAGCACCCTGAGCCACCCAGTGTCCACTCAGTGTTCCTCCAAGGATCAGGGACCCACCATGCCTATGAAAGAAAGCTCTGGTACGAATGTAGTCCCATGAGGTGAACTTCCAACATAGGTCACAAGCAGGGCCTGGTCTCTCTGACCCTCTCTGGGAACTTCCAGCCAGCCCTTTCACCTCCCTGACTTTTTTTTTTTTTTTTTTGAGACAAGGTCTCTCTGTAGTCCCAGCTGACCTGAACTCACTATGTAGACCAGGCTGGCCTTGAACTCACAGTGATCCGCCTGCCTCTGCCTCCTGAGTGCTGGGTGGGGCTAAAGGCATGCGCCACCACGCCCGGCTAAGATGATTATTTTTTAACAAATGGGGCAGCAGAGAGCAGAAGGCAGTGGTCAGGCCAGCTACCGGCCATGTCCTCTCTTAAGGCTACCCTGCTGTAGCACAGTGCCTCGAAGGGACCACATCACTGTTGCCAGGTCTAAGAACTACTGAGACTCACTCAGATTTACACCCCCACCCCCCGCAGGGATGTGCAGGGAGAGCACCAACCCAGCATGCACCTGGCTTGTGTTTTTTTCCTGAGGTCCTAGGAATTGTTTTGTTTTTTTGTTTTTGAGTCAGATTGTGTGGCCCCATCTGGCCTGGAACTCGCTATGTAGACCAGGCCTTGGTCTCACAGAGCTTGGCCTCTGACTCCTGCTTGTCCTAGGGATGGACCAGGGCTTTGTGCATATGAGGCAAGCATTCTACCCCTAAGTTACGTTTTTTACCATTACAAACATAGGGTTTAGGTCTCATTGCCTTGAAGTCTTGGTAGGTCCCTTCCCCTGGCACCAGAAGCAAGATCTCTGCAACATGTCCCTCTGTCTGCTGACTGTTATAGCTAGAAAGTTCACAGGAAGAGCCGGCCCCTGTCCTGGCTGTCAACTTCAGGGCTCTGAGCTGAGGCCACAGCTCGGGGTGAGTCTTCCTGCAGACATAGCCCTATTCTTAGAACAGACCAGGAAGGCAGACACAGCGACTAGCACCACAGGTCTCCCACCCACACGGCTCTGTCCACCACCATAGCTCCTGAAACTGTTGTCTACTCTGCCAAGGAACCACCATGCCCGTGTCCCCCATGGCCGTTGTCAAGCACTCCCCCTTGCCTTCTGCCACCTCTGTGACGAGGCCACTCCAGTACTCTGGGTGTCATATGTCACTAGCCCTCTGACCACCCTGCAAACTTGCCATCCTGTTCCTGAAGCCCAGCCAGTCTTAGAGGCCAGCTGACCTGACTGTAGGGGACTTCAGGATGTACAAGGATCTCCTGTCCTTTGGCTCTGCTGTGGCCTCAGGTCATGGCCTCTTAGAAGGACAGTGTCATTCAGTGGCCACTGGAGGACCTGCCTTGTTGGGGTGGGGAAGAGGGAGAGGCCAGAGGGAGTGCCTCCTGAAGGTGGACTCCCTCTGGAAATCTGGTCAGAGGCCCAGACCCACCCGAGGGGCTGTGTCCCCAGACCCAGCCTGGATTCAAAGGGCAAGAGCTCAGGCCATGTCCATGGTGCTGACCCAGACCCTCTGGGAAGGTCCTGTTCATTCCCAGCTCTGTTCTGAGGGTTCCCATCTGTCAGTTGGGGTTTTTGTTTGTTTTCTTAAAACAAGCCCTGGTGGCACAACCTTTTGTTCTGTCCTGACGTCACTAACCTAAGGAGCACCTGTCTGTGCCCGGCTTATTTATTAGTGGTTGGTGTCCACATGGTGTATCAGGCCCTTGCGTCTGTCTGTTCCTGCCTCGTTGGGGCCGCCCACTGTGCCACCTGAGTTAATGATGTAGCTTTGACATTTTTCTACTCCTGTGTTAATGGATAACCTGTTACATTAGACGGGTGGGCAGGGGTGGGGTAGAATTCTGTTTTGTGGGACTTTTTGGTTTGGTTTTTTTAAAGTAATTGGAATTCTAAGAGCTACTGGCAGTCTTCTGTGTTTCTGTGTTCTGCGCCAGATTCCCAGTGTGGGAACGCTCCGGCTCCTCCCAGCCCACCCCTTTCTCACTGTTGAGCATTCCTTCCCTCTAGCCCCTGAGGGTGACAAAGCTGGAGGGAGCCAAGCGGCCACTCAGACCTCCGGGGCACACTACAGTCCCAGGGGGAGAAGGTTCCTGGAGGCCCCGGGGTGGGAGGGGCAGGGCCAGAAGGGACCTTTGGGAAAGTTGTACTGTGAGCAGCGGGGACCCTCACAGGAAGAGAAGAAGTGATGCTAGGTCATCCCACAACATCTTCACGGGACAGGTCAGAGTTAAGGCTTAACCTGAGGCCACCTCTTGCTGTATCTGTGGGAGAGGGACCCTTGAGGCCAGGACCAGTTGTTGAACCTCTGCAGGGTCTCCACCTCAGAACAGTGGAGATGTGGGGGCTCAGATCACAGGCCTCTCTCAGTTTACTCTTCCAAGTCACACCTGCTGATCAAGGGCCAGATGATTTCAGGCACTGAGGTCCCCAAGGCCAGTCATTGGCTTCCAAGGGTCAGCAGCTATACAGAAACACAATGTGGCTTTGAAAGGCAGAAGCCTCCTGTGCCTCCCCAGCCTGGCTGTTCACTATCAGAAGGGATTTGACACCTGATGCATTGTGCCAACCAGCCTCTGCTTAGACCTGGGAGCTCCTCCCTGAGGACAGGAAGAGTTGAAGAAAGGGGTGAGAGGAGGGTGTGCGGTCCATGCTCTGACTCCAGGACCTGCTCAACTCAGTCTCCTTCTTTGAGAGAGCAGGCTACAGGACATTGCTGGTGGGCCTCTTAAGGGCCCCAAAGCGCCTAAGACAGGCTCACTGAGCTTGCCATACTGGTGGTGGTGATATGCAGGGTGTGCATTTGTGAACCAGCACTTGCCCACCAAAGCCAGCCCAGGGTGGAGGACTCTGAGGCTGTGGTTGAACTGGAGACATGAAGGTAAGCAGGAGGCCAGCATCCAGGCCCGTGGGGACCCCAAGAACCTTGGACAGCCCTCTGGGAACCAAGGGGAGGCCATGTTGCGCCAGGGCCTCCTGGTCATCCCATGCCAAGCCAAGCACTCTTGAGAGTATGCTATCTCTGGCCCCTAGAAGGTCTGTAAGTCCTCAGCCCTAAGTCTCTTGTCATAGGGTGTCAGCATGGGGAGCAGGCAAGGAGGGGCACATGCCCCAGGCACCAGTGAGTGGAATGTTGGCTGCTGCCGCTTCTACAACCATCAGAACCTCTGCTGGAGGCGCCCCGCCCACCCAGGCTTGACACCACCGGTCGCACCTGAGAAAGGGCTGGTTCTGCGGCAGCCAGATGAGGTGGTACCACCTGCCTAAGGAGAAATGGCTGCCAGAGGTGGGACTCGACCCATGTGTTGAGTAAAGCATACTCCAGGGCAGGGCCTTCATCCTGTGAGCGGGAAGCACTGGGTGACGCCCCCCCCAACCTCTACACCCAGAGACCGAGGCAGCTGGCCTGTACCCTGGGGGATGACCCTCTCCAAACTGTCCTTTATCTTGTCCCAGCCTCATCTCCCACATACCCCAAGCCCAGTTTGTTCCTGTCTCCAAGAAAACAGGTTCCATCTTGTGCCAGAAACTTCTAAATCTGTCTTTTTGTATGTGCACAACCATGCCAGCACTGCCCTGTTGACTTCTGGGGTCCAGTTCCAACAAGATCCAGCTCTTTCTGTAGCCAACACTGAGTAAATTCTGCATGTAGGAACTCAACTGCATGATTAAAGTCAGCCTCATAAAGCATGCACCATAGCACCTGCCCACGCCACTGAACGGCTCCTTTCCAGAGCTAGTCTCTGCCTGTTTCATTAGAGATCAAACCTTGCCTGGGTCAAAGAAGGGTGATGGAATATTCCAGAATCCCCTCTCCTTCCTTGACATCTGTGGGGCCTCTGATGGGCTTCTCCTGACAGTCCTGGGAAACCCTTGCACCTTTGGACAGAGAGAGTCTGAGCCAAAGCTAGGACATGGCCCTCAACCCTCCCCCAGCTCCCTGTAAAGGAACCTGGCTGTTGGAGGCCACCCTGTCCCCCTCAGCAGTTCCCGTTAATCCTATAGACTTCTCAGAGGATCCCTTAATCCTGAGGTTGGGCAGGCCGCAGGCAAGCCTGGTTCGCATCTCCCACGTTCTTTTCAAGGAGGTTTAACCTTGCTTCACTCACTGAAACTTCCAAGGTCATATTTAGGTCTCCTGGGATCAAGGCTTCAAGGGAGCCCTAGATGTCACTCCCCACCCCAGACACCTTCTAAGCCTCACGGGACAAGGGAGTCTGGACTTAAAGGTGCTTTATGGGAGTAGAGGCCCCATGCCTGCCTCCACCACTAAGGCAGCCCCTGTTTTCTTTCTGAACTTGGCTCTGTTGCTAGAGACTAACTGAAATCCACAGAGAAGAGACTGTCAAATAAACAATCTGGACTCAGGCACAGCTTCATTCCAGAGAACCTGCAGGCAGAGTGAGGGCCAACTGCAGTGGGGATCCTCCCCTCCGCCTACACGGTTCTCCATGGGGAAAGTGGTTAGACCCAGAGATCTGAGTGCTCAGGGGAAGGGGCTGGAAATGAACACAGGTCTCGGGTTAAGCCACCTATCACCTCTCCCATTGACCTCCGTGGCCACCCAGCACCGTTCCTCAAGACATCTGGCATGGAGAGGCTGCATGTGGCCTTCCCGCTGGACAGACATTGAGGTCGACGTGAGCTTAAACCAGCAGATTTGCTGCTCAATTTGGGAAAGTCACTTATCTGAAAATTGCAGGGCCTGCAGTTTTCTGGGTGTGATGGGTGCTCCTGCTGGACAGAGTCACCCTCGGGGAAGCAGGGAATGGCACTGGCGTTCAGCCCCCTGCTCTCCCCTCTGGGCGTTGGCATGGCAGGGGACACCGTGACTCCTCCATAATAGAATACGGCACAGCAGTAAACACAGGACGCGTGTTCACTGACTATGGACAACTGTGGG